CAGCCACCAGGCAGCGCCTTGGCGTGAGTACTCAAGGTGCGTGAGTTTGAAACTTACAAGGTAACAACATTATGTTCAAAGTCAACTTCTTAACTTTTAAAATGAGATGTGAATTTGTCAAGTAAATATTTTTAAATGAATTTACTATCTGATTTAATTTATTGTTTCTGCATTGAAAATCTGTATTGTGAGTATCAAATTCTGTCTTTCATTAATTTTTCTATATTGCTGTTATATTGTGGACATCATTCAACATTAAGCATTTCTTCTGTATAATCAACTCTTGCCTGTATTTAACATTACACAAAAACTCATCATAAACACTGCTTGCATACAAGTATAACAGAAGAATAATAATAATCATGTCACTATTTTTATTTCTTATCATTGTTCTTCATTGATAGTGAAATAATATTCAATTTAATCAGATGAAATTTATAATAATCATTTTTTTCTATGAATTTTTATTGTGAATATATAATAATTCTTTTTTCTTAATCTGCATTCATAAAGTTAATTATCAATTTTGATGATTATTTCTATCATTGTTGATAACTCTTTAGATTTTTGAGCTAGTTTTGATATTTTATTTTTAACTTTTTCATATAATTCTTGATAAAATTGTGCTGTTAAAGCTTCACTATCTCAGTTTAAATGTGAATTCAACTGATGATATTCAGATGTATATTATGCAGTTGATTTAATTTATTTGAATCAATATAATTTTTAAATTGTAAAATACTTTTCATTGATATTTTCAAATATTTGTTGCAATTGATTGATAAACTGAGTGTAGCTATTGAATATTTTATTGATTTGTATAATACAATTTTCTTTAATTTCAAGAAATCATAATCTGATTCTGAGTTCAAATCAATTGAATGTTGGTTTTATTAAAAATATTGATGTTGATAAAATTTGCTACGCCCTGCCACACGCAGTGCCACGCCTTCGCTCCATCATACGCGTAGTCACATGACTACGCACAGGGCTTCACCTCCTGCTTGTTTCCGCTTGCACAGCATATCTTAGAGTTACGATGATAAAGAATAAGAATAGCATACCCAAGAGCTTCTTCGTACGGCTTCGCCTTACAAAATTTTATCTGCTATTTTTGTTAATTTTAATGGATTTGCAGTGAGATAGATATTCATTTAACTAAGAAAAACTTTTATCTTTTCCCATTCTTCACTGAATAATGTAGAAGAATTTTATTTAAATTTTTGAATATTAATTATTTATTTCAACTTACCATAACATTCAAATAACTTCTTTACATTATATTTTTTTATCATCAACAATCAATTTTGTCTTGAATGTTGTAGTTAATTTTTCTTTAGAGTTTGAGAATGTATATTTTTAAATTTAATTAATTGTATTAAATTTAATTTCATTTCAATTAACAAGTTGTTTCTTCAAATAAAGATCTTTGTAATTTTGAATTAAAAATGATTAATATTGCTATTGAATCTTTAATTTAGTAAGCTTTTTACTGAATATAAGATAAGATTAAAGTTAATATAATATTATTAAACTTGTTCATTAAATCAGAAAATAGTGTCATTATTATAAATTAAAATATAACATCAAGAAAAATATTTAAAATGATTAACAATAATTACAACAACAATTTAAAATAAACAATAAGAATATTTAATAGAGTTTACAGATAAAGATGAAAATTTAAAATTTGCATTATAAAAAAATATATTTAAAATGAGTTTATAATTATACTATATAACTGCCCCGGTGGCCGAATGGGTAATGCGGCCACCAGGTAGCGCTTTGGTGTGGGGACCCAAGGCGCGTGGGTTTAAAACTCACAAGAGGACAACATTACATTCAGAATCAACTTCTCAGCTTCTAAAATAAAAAAATGTGAACTTGTCAAATAGATATTTTTAGATGAATCTACTATCTGATTTAATTTATTGTTTCTGAGTTGAAAATCTGTATTATGAGTATCAAATTCTATCTTTCATTAATTTTTCTATATTTCTGTTCTATTTTTAATATCATTCAACACTAAGCATTTCTTCTGTATAACTAACTCTTGCCTGTATTTAACATTACACAAGGACTCATCATAAGCACTGCTTACATACGAGTATAACGGAAGAATAATAATAATAATAATACTATATAACTATATATAAATAAAAGTATTTTGAAAGAAATAAAGATTGATTGTGATCAAAAAAATAAGTTTCTTGATTTTAAAAGTAATGAATATGTTTAAATATATTTGAATTCTTATACAAAATATTCTGCTCACTCTGCTTATTGATAATCATGATGAGCATAGTGATCAGAGTCAGCAATTATATGATTTTATATTAACATCAATTGTGAGTTGTTTCATTTTTACATCTTTTCAATTTTTATTCAATAAATCTCAGTCTGTGTTACAGATTTATAACATTTCTACTGATCAGTGTAGCAGTTTGTGAGATGTTAAATGAGCAGTGAAAGATTTAATAAAAAAAAATAAGCAATTCAAACCATAATCTGTGAAATATTTAAATAGTTATATTAACTTATTAGCAGCTGAAGCTAGTTCATGATAGGCAGTCTAAAGCCAATATAAAAATACTTTATTTAGAGCGGTGCGCAGTCAAATTATTCATTATATTGCTATTAAACAATATCATCACAGATATCATCAGATATCATCAATAGATATCATCATTGATATATAGCTGATGTTTATTCTCATAGAGATTGATTGGATATCGAGTAGATAAGTAGGTAGATGGGCAGGTAGTGAGTGCGTTTGACACAGTTACTGTGTCAGCTTTGATACGGCAGGTATGTGATGCGGATTGACAATCTCGGGCCGATGGGAAATCATGAAAGTACGGCAGCCTATAGCGACAAATGTGTCAAATGGGTTTTTTATTATACTAGTGTTACAATGTACACACACCAATCATATTCATTCTATTTGTAATTGAATAGAGCTTGTTGATTATTAGAAAGTGCATTGCTAGATATCATCTTCAATATATATCATCACTGTGATGAGATAGCACTACAATCACTAGATTATCCATAGTGAGAAGCCAACATAATCATTTGTTAAATGGTTATGCTCATAGTGATATGTATACTCATGGGTGTGGTGGTGTGGCCCAGCCCACAGCGGGCATGGCCACTGAACCCGCCACTGATACACTGCAACCAGCAGCCACAGTATAGCATGGAAACCACAGTATATATATATTGACAATGATATCTATCAATTGTATCTAATGATGATATCTCACGATGATATCTAGCGATGATATCTTGCGATGATATCTAGTGATAATATCTCATGATGATATTCAGTGATGATATCTAACAATGATATCTAGTAATGATATCTACAATGATGTAAATTCACTGTTTTAAAATGTACAGTACTTAGAGAATCCAAGGTGTATTGCTTTCTAGTATAAATTTCTATCAGTGTATGTAAGTGGAATTAGGTAATTACAATGGAAAACATCAAAAAAATTCATTTGACACATTAGTCAATATAGGCTGCCGTAGAAGGTCAGCTTCGGGCATACAGTTGAATGTGGTTAATTTGAAATAACCTTCAGTGTGAGCCATAAACCATGTCAACCCCAGCATTAAAACTACATACATTAGTCATGTCTCATACATATCCTCACACATCTTCAAATGCATTGGACACAGTGATTTTATCTCATTTCTCAGAGCTCTCTTTCTTAGCTAATCTAGATTCTAACTCTGAATCACTAATTCTAACTCACAACTACTTTTCAGATGTTGAAGAGTTCTAAATATTGAAGTGTAACGACTGATTAATAATTGATTAAAAATAGATACTGAGAGAGGGTTATAGATTTTACAGGAAGTGAGGGACTGAGCATGGTTTAGTTTTCAGACCCACTCTTTTTGAACCACAACTAACTTTTAGTAGATCATGTTCAACTGTAACCCTGGGATGTTATATGGTTTATCAGTTGTTATTAACTGTGTAGGATGCCAATCTTACCCGTATCCATATCCATCCCCGTCTCCCATCAAAATTCCACACGTATTCATCAATGATCATACAAGGTTAGGTTGATACATACTCCTTGGGTAGTAATCCAAAAAAAAAAAAAAAAAAAAAAAAAAAAAAAAAAAAAAAAAACCCATTTATTCGTCACACAACCATACAATAATGAGGAAAAGAGTATTTTTTTTCAGCGAATATCAACAAATCATTTCCTGGTTTGTTGAGTGGCACAATCACGTGTTTCAACTAGCCCCAACCAACCCATGCACTAGTACATATTTAGACTAGTAATATATCCAACAGGCCTAATTGGGTTTAGCACTGGAACTAGTAACTAAGAGCTATGGCTTACATAATGCATGTAGCCTTTCCGCATTCGGTAATCTACTTCGTCAAGGCTGAAGCAGCTTCGTCTTTTCTTCGTTTTCTTTTATTAGAGGTTCGATCCGTGGTATATCCAAAAAAGAAGCAACAGGAAGAACCAAACGAAGTATAACTTGGTAAAAGTGACTGCTTAACTCCCGTTGCTCCTATTTCATTCCCGCCCCTGGAGTGGCTGTAGCTAACTGTCGGCCTCGCCAGTTTTTTTTTCCCCCTTTTCATCGATCAACCCAGCTCCATCCATTCGACTCGACATCCAGCCGAAAGAACTCGATAATTTGATAAAATATCCCTCTCTCGCTCTCCATTCCCGCCCCGATCATCTCCCTGGTCTAGTACCTTAGAAGCCAAAAAGCAAGGAAACTAGAGCTGTGTGTATTATTTGTCACCACTATATGTGACAAGCCGACATGACTCCACCTCTTGATTTTGATCCCCGTTCACAAGCTTCCCTCTCCAGATCCACAATGCTTTGAGAGAGAAGCTAACAAGACAGTTCGCTTTCCTTTCTTTTCTCCCCTTCCCCTCCGACGAATACGTCCCCTATTCCCTTGGTCAGGGCCCCTTTCAGTGACCCCAACGCATCCAATTGAAACTCCCGCCGACCATGTCTGTTACTCAAATCTCACCCGCGGCGGGCGCGCCGAAACCGCTCGAGAAAAAGCCCATCAAGTTTAGCAATCTGCTACGTGAGTTATACTCTCGAGTTGTTACTGTTACCTATGGAAGAGGACGGAGGTTCATCGCACAGCGGGGCTAGTACGGATTATTAACTCACTGTCTTTATATCTGCAGTTGGTGCTGGTTTGAATATGTTCGAGTAAGTATTCCCCCCTTCCATTTCTTTCCGTTGGCTATTTTGCTAATGACCTCTCCAGGGTTACCACGTTGGGACAGGTAATATTTCCCGACTTTGTCTGTCCCTTGGAAGCTCAGGGATCTGCATTCTAACACCCTGCAGCCTCTGGAAGTGATCAAGACGACCATGGCCGCCAACAGAAGCGATTCTTTCGCCGGTGCTATGCGTCGGATTTGGGGTCGTGGCGGTGTACTTGGCTGTTAGTTTCCTCGAAACCTACCATCGCCATCATCTACTAAACTCATCTGGATATATGTAGACTACCAAGGCCTCATTCCATGGGCCTGGATTGAGGCGTCTACTAAAGGCGCAGTCCTCCTCTTCGTCGCATCCGAAGCCGAATTCTACGCCAAATCATTCGGAGCCAACGACTTCGTCGGCGGCATCAGCGGCGGCATGGCTGGCGGTATCGCCCAGGCCTACGCCACCATGGGCTTTTGCACATGCATGAAAACGGTCGAGATCACCAAACACAAGCTGGCGGCGTCGGGCGTGAAGCCTCCCGGCACCTTTGCGACGTTCATGGACATTTACCGCAAGGAGGGGATCAGGGGCATTAACAAGGGGGTTAATGCGGTGGCGATTCGACAGACGACGAATTGGGGCTCGCGGTTTGGGTTATCGAGGTTGGCGGAGACGACGATCAGGAGGGTTACTGGAAAAGAGGAGAGTGACAAGCTCAGTGGGGTTGAGAAGGTGATTGCGTCGGGGCTTGGTGGCGGATTGTCGGCGTGGAATCAGCCGATCGAGGTTATTCGGGTGGAGATGCAGAGTAAGAAAGATGATCCCAACCGGCCCAAAAATTTGACGGTGGGGAAGACTTTGAAGTATATCTATGGCACCAATGGGCTGAAGGGACTGTATCGTGGCGTTACGCCGCGGATTGGGTTAGGCATTTGGCAGACTATTTGCATGGTTGCCTTGGGTGATATGTACGTGTCGCATACCCTGTTTTCATTCTTCACTCCCTTGCCCTAGTTTTGATTGATGGTGATATTAACAGTTTTCTTCTACACAGGGCCAAGGAGACCGTCGAGAAACTGACTGGTGAACAGGTCACCGCTAAACACTAGAAGGTGGGACCATAAATACATGGACGGCGGCTGGCAAAAATCGTGGATTCGTGTGATATCCTCAAAGTCAAGCTCAGCTCACTTTGACATCCAGCGCGTCTGTATTTTCGCGATATCTTGAGCGTTTGATTATTGTATACACTACTCGTTACCAGCCCGCTTATTTTCCCACTACAGGGATTACTCCCACCATTTTAATATTGCCTATTTCTTGCTTTGTTTTTCTGCCTGAAATTAACACTTGTATACATTTTTTCCCCCCTATCTCTTTTTATTTTTCTGTATCAATCTCAGACATGTTAAGTGCAATATGTATTACCCACAATAATGTTATAGATAGAATCGGTTCGTACTTTCGTTTCTATCTCCTTGATGATAATATGCATATATATATCACGAGATCCAGGTAGTTTCAAAGTAATTGAATTTTCAGTAACCATCCGAATAAAATTGTTCCATCCACAGATATGATATATTTTCATGGTATGAAATCAGCTTCTCTATGTCACATGTATGTATATCTTTATGGTAGGATGCCGATAACTAACTACACATAAAACCTATAACTAAGTCTATTTCGTACGCTGCATGCTGGACTTCTGACTGTGCAGCCCGATTAAACTAAAGTGTCTGTAATGGAAATAATCTTTATATGTCTATCCTTTTCGTTTATAATTTTCTTTCCCTTTCTCTTTTCCCGCCCTCTCTTGCTCGCGAACTAGCTATCACATATATACATGGACGTTAATCTAATAGCGGGTTGAATTTGGCTGAAATACAATTCACCCGATAAAGAAATAAAATTTGAGAGGGAGGTGTGATGTTGGTGTTGGAAGTTTGCACGAAACAAGTGGAAATTTTTAAGGATAAATCTGCGAATAATAATGTAAAAGATAAAATAAAAATAAAATAGAGATAAAAATAAATAAAAACTAAAATAAAGGGAGAGTAAGGTCAGGAGTTGGAGCTAGTTCTTTCTAAGTCGAGGTTGAATGGTTCATAATTTTTGGGGCTAGTTCCTTGTCGAAAATGGAGCTATTGAAAAGGGAAAGCAGAAGATAAATGTGGGTAGATTTTAGGCTTCCCTAGTGTAACAGGATAGAATAAGGGGAAATTGACAATGGTACATTATATTGGCAATGATAACGGCAACAGAAGCAGAAAACACCTTGTGTCTAGACAGTCAAACCGATATCTGTAGCGAAGGGAAGAACATGTAGATCGCCGACTGCGGAAACGGAGGCTTTGCCTGAGAGGAGGGATTTGGCAGCCTGTTTTAATACATTAGCTTTATTCAATAAAGGAAGAAGAACAAAAAACATTGTAGCATTGAAGAGTGAGCCACGGGCGTGACTATACATACCGCAATAACCTGTTGTTCAGTCACTTTCTCGACGCTCTGACCAATCTCAGATAGCTGGACTATATCGACGCCATGGGCCAATCTGGATCCGACATATTCGAGGCCCACTGAGGAGCTATCCCCAGCCTCTAATGCGCGGAACTTTGCGAGGGCCGTTGCTTTTTTGATATCTTCACTGCTGACCTTACCAGCCACTACTTTCTGGATAGTCTCGATAACGCTTTTGCTGGCGGCCGCAACACTGTGTGCTTTTCCAGAGACGGTGACATAGAAGAGACCCGCATCGGAGTACGCAGTATTAGAGGTCGACACGGATACATCAGCGAGTGTCTCAGTGGCCTTGGCGAGTAGGGAGGATCCAGAGGACCATTTGATGGTGGACTGGCCGCCGAGAAGCGCAGAAAGCACGGAGAGCTCCGGTTTGTAGCTAGCACCGCTGCCTGAGATACTGGACCCGGGGAATGCAATCACCATGGCATTGCCAGCCTTGCTTGAAATTCTTTCCTCGCCTCCATAGTACTTTGTTGGTACACTTGCCTTGAGGCTAAATGGTCCGGTTGTGCTCGATGCGGTGGGGACGTCACGGAAAAACTCGCCAACCCATTTGGACAGATCAGCAGTGTTGGAACCACTTGCGACGACGGCAATGGACGGTTTCGAGTATGCACTCTCAGCAAACGCGGCAATTCCTTCCGCTTCAATATACTTTCCGAAGGGAGAAGAGGCCGAAGGAACCAAATTCTCTCCAAGACCGTGGTGGAAAGCAACGCTATGTGCGGAGTCTAATGCGTGAGCAGCTGGGTTCGCTACAAGGCCATTCTGGGAGTATTTGACAAGGTTCATGATGAGCTCATCGAGCTCATGTTCTGGTAAAAAAGACTGTTGTTAGACGACCAGCCTGACAGCGTTCATACCCAAGATTCAAAAAGGATTACTTACGTGAGTAATTAGTTTTTGTTATTACGTCTGCAAGAAGCTCTGTATAGTAAGGAAGATCTTTGCTGAGGAATTTGGCGGAAAGGACAACGTTTTCTCTTGAGTAAGTCGCAGCCAATTCCCCACCAAGCAACTCAGACTCTCTGGTGATGCGCAGCGCTGACCGTTTGGACGTAGACTTATCAATTACACGTGTATATCATCAGCAATCAAGCCGTATATTCTGCCAATAAAAACCATGAATTTATAACGCGAATGTTAGATGGCTGCGCAATTGACTCACTTTGAACGCAAATTTCTCCAGGAGATTGGAGTAGCCGGGGAAAGGTTGGTATCGCGAGCCGGCCTTTGCAACGAGCGACAAAGTGGTGGTAGGTGAGGTAAACTCTCTATTAGCGATCTTCACACCAGAAGCCTCAGCAGACTCGAAGTCGAAGCTCTTGGCTGCAGCCGCAGCCATGCTGCGGCGAGAGGAGGGCTGGGGTTGGGCGATACATTGGTTTCGGAGACAGCGCCGCGCATTCCGGCCGAGAGCAGACCTCGAAAGCATGATCGCACGCACCTGGGAGCAGAGGGGCGTAATGGGTGAGAAGAAGGACGGGACAATTGAGGGCAATTGGCGATGTGAAGCGGAATTCACAGCATTCTCTGTTGAAACTTCGGCGGTTTCGTCGAGATATCCAATAGATATATGATGAGGTTCAAAAAGCGGAAAATGCTGATTAAGCCGGAGGAGCTGATTTAGCGGCTGCTGATTGGCTTCCGTGGCGAAGATTTGGCATTCGGGGCCCGAATTTATCCGATATCATGTGATACTCGTAAGGCCTTAAGAATAATTAACCCGAAGAGGAATAGAGCCGACATTTTTCTGCCGAGAAGCATTTTCAACAGTCACGCATCACCACCACCCACTACCACCTTCAGATATTCAAAAGATATGGAGAGGAAATAGGAAATACATATAGCTCTATCAATTCATCTTTCGCCACAAAGATATCGGCCATCCGTGTGTATACTGTCGATTATCTCGTATCAGTTTCGCCTGCACACCCATGAATGTTCAACGGTGACCTTGGGTCTCTTCTAGAGAAGCCAGCGCTTTCTCTAGAAGGTAGAACGGGCAACACGCATCATGTCTCAAGTGAGCTTCGAACATTGTACCACCCTGCGGATATGTACTATGTGTATGCTGATTGGATTGCTAGTATGCGGCAGAATTGTGCAAGCTGTTGATTACGGACAATTTCGGGGAGCTATATGCTGTATGTTTTTAACTTGTCTTGGACAAACTCGACAAGCAAAGTAGCGGGATTCTAACCTTGTTATTTTCGTTCTTCGCCTAGTTGATATTTTCCTATCTGCTATACCATGGCCGCCAGCCTCTGCCTCGCATTGTCCAGAATACACGTCTGTCCCCCCGACAAGTTCGACACGGCCTAGCTGTGCTTATCCAGCAACGGCTCATCTACCACTATACATCGCTGGACGATGGTATCGCGTACTATGAAGCTAGCTGGATGACTGCATACAATCTGGTACGGTCAGGCAGGATTTTGCAATTGGTGGAAGAGAAGCTCGGGAAATATGTTGCGAAGGTGCTGTCAACAATCCTGTATCATGGCCATGTGAGGATCAGCTATTTGGAAACTCTGCCTGAGCTACGACCTCAAGTCTCAAGTAAAGCGGGGAAACTCGTAGCTGCAAACGGTTTAAATGGAATCCATAGCGATGAGGAAGAGGAGGAGGAGGATGCTCACGTTACGGACCAAGGGGAGCAGGAGGAATATGCATCTGGAAGGCCGGAAAATAGCGTCGATAGCGATTACGGCAAGCGCTCAGCCTCGCAACTTCATCCTGCCCTACGTTCCCTTGCCGCCTACGGATATATTATGCGAGTGCGCGATGCCCATTTTCAGAGCCCGGCAGATCTTGTAGAGGACGCTGAAAGGGCTGTCAGTTCTCGATCTGACGTCCGTGGTCTAAAAGGGAAGAAATTTCAAGAGGCCATCGATGCTGGAGTGGAGACATATATTAAGGAGAAGACGGATGGAACTATTCCCCAAGGGCCACTGGCCGGCGCGCTACCCCGCGGCATTAAGAGACGCGCAGGACAATTGGCAACGAACTCGTCAAGCAAGAGGGTGAAGCTTGAACATCTTCCGGAGGGCGACGAGGATATCGACGACGATGATTTTTACGGTGATGACTATGTAGATGGTGATAACACCTTAATGGACGTGAGTTACGCATCTCTGGAGGGGCTATTTGTATGACTAGAGCGCTAACATAGCGCAGCCCAACATGATCATCAGTGTCAACTATCAAAAGTTCGAAGTGGCATTACGAAATCGACGATTAGCAAGATTGGCTGAACAGTGCACTTCCAGAGTGACATCTCAGGTCTATGAGGCTCTCCTGGGGAGGATTGAGCTTAAAACTCCCGCGTGCCGGAAACAGCCGGAGCGTGTTCCCGAAGGGGAGGAAAACGAGCAGTACTCCGTTGCCATCCCACTACATACCATTTTGGATGACATAGACCCCGACTTAGACCTCTCAGAGTCTATGGCTGGAGTGGACCCGGCCAACCTTCTTTCAAACGGACACATGGGTCTCAACGGAGACGGCAATGGCGATGACGACGATGACGAGAGCACTGGTGCGAGTACAGGTATTTGGAATCGCCGCAGGAACCGCGTCTACGAACTAGAACAACACCTCTCCCTCCTCGCCCAGGAGCCGAATATCTTCTCCACTCGCAGCATGCAGTCCGGCATGATCACCTGGGCCGTTGAATTCCGCCACCTCGCCCGCCGCCTCCGCCACCTCGAAATCGAACGCATCATCGAATCTCGTTTCGGCACAATTGCCGTCCGTGTCATCCGCGTCCTTGCCGCAAAGGGCAAACTGGACGAGAAGCGCCTGCAGGAAATCAGCCTGATGGCGTCCAAGGAACTTCGCCAGGTTCTGGCGCGTATGGAGGCGGCTGGTTTCGTCGATTTGCAGGAGGTCCCCCGCGATGCGCAGCGGCAACCCTCGCGGACGATGTATCTCTGGTTCTTCGATCTAGATCGCGTTGCGAGGATGGTGCTGGAAGATACGTACAAGTGCATGTCGCGCTGTCTGCAGCGGATTGGCGTGGAGAGAAATAAGCTGAAGCTCTTCCTGGAGAAGACGGAACGAACGGATGTTAAGGGAAATGAGGAGAAGTATTTATCGCCTGCTGAGCTGAAGACCTTGAAGGAGTGGCGGGATAAAGAGGCTCTGTTACTGGGGGAAGTAGGGAGGTTGGATGAGTTGGTTTCTGTTTTGAGAGACTATTGATGTTCTCCTGTTAGTTCCGATTATCTTTCGTTTGGCTAAACCTTCTGGAATTGTTCCATTCTGGTCTTCATATCCTTTGCCCTTTTGACATCCTGTATAACGGTTTCTTACCCTTCAATATCTCTTTTGTTGCTACTTCTGGAATGCAAGCAAGCAAAAACAGCATAATAGGGACTAACCCCATGAAAAACGCGATGATTCTTCCTGTTTGAATTGGCAAATTTCTCATTGGGATATGTATTCTATTCGATAACCAACCGCTTTGCAGAGCTATGTATCGCTCCCTGGATATCTCTTGTCAGGTGCCAAAGTCTTGAAGCGATTGCGACACTGCTAGTTGTAAATAAGTATCTTATCACTGAACGCACGGATGAGTTTTATGGCAGCAACATGCTGTGAAAATTGAGCACACATGCGCAGTAGAATCTTTGGGCAAAGGAAGGAGGAAGAGACCATGCCCACATGGTTCCAGGTCACTGGATGGCTGGACGAACTGCGTTATAATCTGCGTAGTGGAATGGGCCATCAGAGGCAGTGGAGATACGGAAAACAGTGATGAACTAGAAGCTGCGGGTGATGATTATTTCCAAGAGCCACCAACTTCTGCAGCAACGAAAAAGGTGTTGAGATACAAGGCTGATAGTTGTCGATTACAAGTTGCTCTTCGAGATTAATCTTTGTGGCACTACAGCCCTTTTGCACCATATAAAAGTCATACTCAAAAGATGCTAATACAAGGGCCTTAAAAATTTAAATCCAAACAAATTCTAAGCTACAAATTAGAGCTACTTCTATCCCTTTGAAAGTCTCAGGTGAGGAGAAAAGACGTTGTGTCAGCCGGGAGTAGAAATTGTGGTCGGTTCAAGATGAATAGGGTTGGCACGTAAAATGGAACTGGACGCATCCGCTTTCACTTTAGGAGTAGGGGGGCTGGTATAACCTAGCACACATGATAGCTAAAAGTCCACTGTTGTAGGTATGCAAGCAACTTTTATTCGGGATCTCCTCGTGTCCAGAACTACAGGGAAGCATGCTGTTTCGATGTTAAGTGTTTGGGTCTCTAAAAGGAAAGCAAGAGCGGACTCATCTCAGGTATCCGGCTCGGTCCCTTCTGGTCGAACCATAGCTGTTTTGTACAAGGCAAATCTTTGTGGGGAGGGTCTCGTCCTAATTCCAGAGTATCCATCTGTCACCAGAGGGCGGACGAGTTTCCTGCTTGTGGAGACTACCACGGGAAATCTACGCCATGGAAAGTGGGGGAGGCCTTTGTTGACGTCGTGCAGAACGAGAACGAATGCTTTTGCAAGCGCTGAGCGTTCCCTGAGGGTCTTGCTGGACGTGGAGGGATATACGTACCAGTATTTATATATATATTCCTGCGTATATTGCAGATGCTTTCCACAACCAATCAGGAGGCCTTGGTGGTCGAACTCGGCTTGGATGTTACATAATCGCACTAAGTTCACGAACTAACCTAACTAAGTTAGGCAACCAGTTTTCCCTCCAAACCCAAACTTCCGCTCTATCTTCCCAACTTCCTCTGCGTTTTTTCGCCCTCACCGCGAACAATCATGGCAAACCCCGCCGCTTACAGCCTTTCAAGGCTTTTCATCAATCCCTCGATTCGGGCACCCGATAGGCCCAGTGGAGATGTGACTCTTTTCTATGATAGCCCCAAAGGCGGGGTCCTGTCCAGTTAATCCATCCCGTTGTGTTGGCGCAGAGGCATTGTTGCTATTAACGTTGCCCCTGCGTTGCCCTGAACGCTCTCCCCAATTCCCCCCATTTTACTGCCAGATATTGCTTTAGAAACTCCGATTAGGATTTCTTCCTAAATTTATAGAATCAGAAAAACTAGAAACAAAACACATTTGAAAAAGTAACATTGCTTTCTTTTCTCCAGTATCCCCCTTGTTACATGACTAATAAGAAGGCTTGGAGATAGATGACCAAAATACTGCTGGGCACACTTGCTACGGAGCTGTTGCTCCACGTATTTCACTCCTGCAGCTCAGTCGCCGATGTTCTGAACCTCTCCTTAACCTGTCGTCGCCTGCATGATGTATTCTCTGCTTCGCAAAAGCTTCCCATACTTGCCAACGCCGTGGAGGCCGAGTTTGGGCCCCTGGAAGATATAATACAACTGGTCACTCAAAATACCAGCCAGCCTACGCATGTATCTCGTGAGGCACCGATATCCCTCGCTTTGATCCAACAAGCTGTCGAAGTTGGCCGCGTGGCCAAGAAATGGGAGGTGATCTATCCAATCAAGAAGTGGAAGGTGGATTTTGAAAATCGTCGAGTTTTGGACACCCATGAATGTTTCGTGCTACGTCGAGCCGCATACCGTCTTTGGCTGTACTCGAGGGCCTTCCACAGCCAATTATTTCCGCGAACCAGTCGCACTCTCCCTTCTGTCGTCCGTGAGCGGGCCGAACTCTTGCACAACTGGCCCACGAACGAACTAGCTGAGATCGAAGATTTTCGATTGGTTATGCGTGAGGTTGTACAGAGCCAGATCTGCCCGAGCAATGAGACGATCCAAAGAAAGTTTCAGAAAAGGTTCCCGGAGAACACACCGACATCAACTCATATCCACCTAAACTGTCGTTCACTGACACCGCCCCCCTTGTTCCCACTCCTCAACTTCCACTCCAAACCAGCACCTACCTTGTCGTCTATCGATAGGAATAATTGCCATTTCCACGCCCTGCAAACATCTCGCGACAATAGCATCAACAGCAACAACATTGTCACCTCGACAGTTAACAAATACGCAACCAAATTCCGCTCCGATCTCTACCACGAGCCCGGAATGGAAGGTTGGGGCGACCAGATTCACCATTACTATGTCGTCGAGGACATGATGAAGCTGGACCCGTCACAGGTTCTATGGTTGAGAGAAAACGCCCCCCTCAAGGAACAGGTAGAAAGCTACGTTCGATCGATGGGCGACTGGTTCGACAATAATGGCGAGACATTCGGGCAAACGCTGGAATGGGTAATGGGTGAACGTGGAGGGGATTATATGGAGTTGCATTTTTCGATTGTTGATGGGGAAGCAGGTATTGCGGCGAAAGTGAAAAGCTGACGGCAATCCTTGTTGATGTAGCATCCATCGTCTTCTCTCTTTATTATCTCCTCTGTTCTTAGCCTTAGATGTAGATATCTATATATCGTTCCGTTTGGTATATTTGGCTTTATTGCTGTCGTCCCCCTTTCTTGCTTTAGTTCGTTTTGTCGTTTGATTTACTTGTTTCGAGGTAGTGTTTGGATTTTGAAGCTCAGTTCCTTCGAATGACAAGATCACATACCCATTAGGCGACGTCGATAGTGCGAACAAACTATTTTTTGCTTTTTGTTTTAAGTCGCTACGTGAAACGCCCCGTCACGGGGCTGGCACAGTGCCTACTTGCAGCTTGAACCTTGGCCCTAACGGCAATTTTTTGGCCAATCTAAAACACTCACTTTGCAGATACCAGTCGAAACGAAGTGGAAAAACAAGTGGGAAAAAAAGGAAACAAAGAACAGAGATTTAGATTATTTGCAAAGAATAATTAGCAGCCATGGAAAGAAGGGGGCAAATCGAAGGGTTAAAATAAAGAACGTGGAATTGCAAGAACAAAAAAAAAATATATAGAATAAACAAAAGGTGGGAAAAGAGTGGGCAAAAAAGAGAATGGAATGTTGGGGGTGAAAAACCAAACCTTTAAAACAAATCAACAATGGGATGAACTTGAAGGCAAACGACAAAACTAAGCCCAACCCGCAAATCCCCCAAACCATTTATCCCATCCCGTGTGGCCAATAAACATTCAATTCCAGAAGCCGGACATCCATCACCAGAACTCCTTTGAGCTCTTCAGGTATCCCTTCCCGTGCTCAAAAAATTTCACCTTTATAACGTCGGCTTTTTTTCTCATCACGTTGCTGTCCTGAGGCCGTAGAATGACAGAAAAGGAGAAGATGATTTGGGAAGCGGCGAAAATAAAATAAGAAAACAAAATATGGGAGAAGTAAATACATGGACACGGCATGGCATGACACAAACAGAAAAAAAGTCAGGTGGTTCTTCAAAGTCAAATCGACCGTGGCGACCAGAGAAAGGAAAATAAAATAGAATAGAATAAAATGCAACCGCCATCCGTCGAGATGAAGACCCCAACGTTATAAAAGCACCGGTTATTCTAAGTCTCGCCACCGCCAGCCTTTCCCGGTAGAAGGCGCTTTCTGCCAGAACAGTAATTCCAGAATGGTTTCTAAAAGGGTCTGCGTTCTTTTCTTTAGCAGCACTTCTGCTTCGCATCTGCATCCTGCGACTTCGTGATCTCTACCACCTTGCGGTCACCGAGAGGGTTCTGTCCTGAGTTACCATTCTCGAGGGCCTTGCTGGAAACGATGCGGTAGATTTCTTTAAGACGCTCCGTTAGTTGTGTTTTGTCTGGTGGGGAAGAGGGAAATATGGAGTTGGTAGAGTAAATAGTAGTTGGGTTACCTGTAAGAATATTTTGAAATGCGAGCTCAACATTCGTGGCGTCAAGGGCGGACGTTTCGATGAAGGACAACTTCCTTGCCTCTGTTTTATGGGTTAGATAACCAGGGGAATAAGACAACCGCCAACTTAGGCTTGGGAGGAAGGAGTGGCATGGGAGGTTAGTGACAGCATACCGGCAAATTCCGCGCCTTGATCAGTTTTAATAGCCCGGACATGTTTTTGATCGATCTTATTTCCGACGAGCATGATGACAATGTTCTTGTCGGCATGTTCCCGTAACTCCTTCAACCATCGCTCGCAGTTTGCGAAAGTCTGTTCTTTAGTCGTATCGTATACAAGAAGGGCACCCACTGCGCCACGGTAATATGCGGACGTAATAGCCCTGTACCGCTCCTGGCCTGCAGTATCCCAAATCTGAGCTTTGATCGTCTTGCCGTCTACCTGAATAGAGCGGGTTGCGAACTCGACACCGATAGTGGACTTCGAATCGAGGTTGAATTCATTCCGGGTGAATCGGCTTAACAGGTTGGATTTCCCGACACCGGAATCTCCGATAAGAACCACTATATGCCCCGAGTAAAGCAAAGATACTGGTCAGTTATACAGAACAATTTTGTGCTTCGTTGATAAGGTGTCAGGACATAGGAAGGAGCCCGGTGGTGGCGTCGTGGTGGAGTGTCGCAAAGCTGGTGAAGACCTTACCTTTGAAAAGGAACTGGAAGTTGCAGAACTGTTAGAGACTATCACACAATCAAATATGGTGGAGGAGGGCAAGAAGAATGACTTACATCATATTCGTCGTTAGCCATTAGGGAGGATGGAGAGGTGGAAGAGTCGAAGTCTCTCTCCACGGGGAACGGGGTTTAATAAGTGTGTGTCGTTTCTGCGTGATTAAAGTGACTTTAGACCACGATGAGCCGGAAGCAGGACGCTGGGGCGATAAAGGAGTACGGTTCGTCTGTCAGTCAATGACCGTCAAGAAGGATCAGTAAGTTGGATGGTGTGTTGACAAGAGAACCAGAAGAAGGCAACGAGATTATCCAATAGATGAAGCTGCGTTGGCTTGAAGTTCGAGTGGCAGAAAAGAAAGGTAACTGGTACCTTACACCCCAGGTATATCTGGTGGTACTTTTGGTATCAGATACATATTTTTTTTTTTTTTCGGGCGGAAACCTGGCTTCTTGCTGATTCAACACTTAGTCAGCCGCTTTGTTCGGTGTCTGACTGACGGCGGAATGAAATTCACTTTCTACAGGGCTCCAATCCAGTAACTGCCGTATTTCACTTTCGTCGGCTCAAGGCCTTTGTCATTTAATTGAGAGCCAATTTCACAGACACTACGGAGGAGTACTTACATCCATAGCCCATCGGAGAAGGGCCGACGCGGTCAAGTCCATGATGTGAATCCTTCCATTCATATGTTTCACTGTTTTGACCTTGGTGTGGCCGGCAAGTGTTTTTTGCTATGACTTCCAAGAGGGCGCAAACTGGAGCTACAAGTGACGAAGACGATAATATTTCGATTACTTCAACTGTTGGCAGTGAGCCACAGTCTGAATATGAAGTGGAATCTATTCTTGCTCAAAAGAGCTTTCCAAATGGTGATGTGTATCTGGTAAAATGGGCTGGCTATCCGTTGGAGAGGGCAACATGGGAGCCGGAGGACTCCTTTTGTGATCCGAATATTTTGCTGGCATGGAAGAGGAAAATCGCATCTGGGGATCATGAGTCGTTAGGTGTGGATGTGGATGATCTGACACGCAGGATTGAGGAAATTGAAAGTGCAAAACTCGACAGGCGTCGCAGGCGTTGGGCAAAGCGCATTCGTCTCGGGATCCCGGCATCCCCTTTGACTGATGGTTCTGATGCCGTTTCTGCTGGCCAGGACAGCGACTCGAACTTTGATGACTTTACCGTTGACGATGATGTTGATGTGGAGGGCGAAGATGAAGAAGAAGTGTGGCAGTCATTGCGGAGGAAACGACAACACTCATCCAGCACCAAAAAAACAACCCCCCGCGCAGGAATGGCTGCTTCTCCTTCGCTGCCCAGTGGCACCCCAAGCAAGCATCAAATTCCGGCTTCAATAGCGCCATCATCAACTGGGTTTCCGAACAAGAGGAAGAAAATCGATACGACTTCGACAACCAGATCTCCTGCAACTAATAATCAATCCACACAGTCTTCAAAACCGACATCGTTATTAGAGCAAAGACAAACTTCAAAGGACTCTCAGAATGCTCCTGCACGCCACCAAACGCGGCCAACTTTAAAGTTACAAACCTCATCCTCCACTAATCCTTCGTCCTCAGAACCTACAAAATCTGCGAAGTTAACTTCGCAGGTCAAAGGGCCCTTGATCCCCACTGGGCCAGCGAACCGAACTGTTCCTGTCCTCACAAAAAAACAAAATGCGTCAAAGCCAAAACTCTTCCGCAATTTATCCTCTAAAAACAGATATGAGAAAACTATGCGGCGGGACGTAATACCAGATATAAAGCAACTGGATTTGAGACCACCAGGCAAATGGATTGCGCCCCAGAATGATAAAACTCCGCTATCTGCATCGCCGTCCCGACTGCATGCACCTCGCAATTCAGAAAGCTTGTTCGTTGATCACAACAGTCCCCACCGTGATGCTAACGATCATTCTCATTCTCAAGGCAGTCCCAGGGTAGATGGGCCAGTTGAGGCGAGAAGCAGTTGCCAGCCAGATCAGCTCCAACTCGCCTCGGTACAATCACCATCAAAATTGATTCATAAAGGCTCTCCTAGTAGTTGCAGTCCGGGAACATCTGTCCTCCCATCGGTATTTTCTCCAAGCAAAGCCAATTCCATAGAATTATATGATAAAGGTCCACCAAAGGGAATGAAAGGAACTGGGACCGGTTTCCAATCACAGGCAAAAGCCGTGGTCCACCTCCGATTTGGACCAACGGGCAAGGAAATAGGCGATGTCAGATTGGGAGGCTTGACAAGAAAAACAGTTCGGCAATTGTTACTCCTTAAATCACAAAACAAGATTGATATGCATTTTAAAGATGTGTGCAACCTTGACGAATACAGACAATTGTGTGACAGAGTAGGTTTCCCATTTCTTGACACAAATCAAAAATATTAGTATTAAATCCTGACTGATTATACAGAGAAAAAACATAAAATACTGCAGCGGCTGGGTACTTGCGTCTGGCAATGCTACCTTTGCAGTGTGACTAGCGAACTACTTGAGG